TTTTTTAATCTGATCTTCAAGAAGCCGGTTTACACTGCTTTTATTTATCTAAGAAATCGTACTTAAATCTTTTCTTTGATCAATTTCGAGGAAAATAAATCTAATTCAATTTTTTTTTCTTAATGGCTATATTTAAAGATATAAAAACTTTTCTGAAATAGATAGGAAAGTCGCGTGAGTGGACATGCCAGATTTTTTGTTTTGTTTTTTTCTTTACTGTTCTTTTCCTTTCAACATAAATGTGATTTTTTTTCGTGATATCATCTGGAGATGGCCTTTAACAATAAAGCCATTACCACTTTAACTAAAATAAACAAGTAACTTGCGACCAAAAATATTTTTGAATTAGGAAAATTTAACATATTGATAAAGTTGAACAATTTTAACTTTTTAAACCTCTCCAAACCATATTGCTAAAATGAATTGAAACGGAAAAAGATTAAGAAAAAAAATTATGTTCTGATACATATGTGAGAAAATTACCACTTCATAGATACCAAAAAATATTAGCACTACAGATAATTAAAAAAGAAATCGCATGGTTTAGGGACTTACTTAATCTGATCGAACTGCATGGATTAAATTTCAACTTAAATCGTTCTAACTGTGATGATGTTAAACTATGGAGAGCTAATTTATATTTACTAAGAACTCAAATTCAGAAAGACATATATAATCAATATTTAATTGAAGTTCAGAATTCTAAAACTTTCACTTTTTATCCTCATTTAACTTCAGTAAATTATATTGACTACAAAAGCTCATTGAAGGTGATCAGATGGGTAATTAAAATTAGAGCTGATGTTTTGAACTTGAATTATAAACACTTCCAGCAAACAAATAATAATTGTAGAATGTGTAATACAAACGAAACAGAAGATCTCTATCACTTCCTGGCTGCTTGTCCGATACTTTCTGAATTTAGAATTAAATGGTTAAAGTCTAGAAACTTATCACGGGATCAAGTAATTGATTTATTAATTGAAAACAATTGGATAGCATTGGTAAATTGCTGCAACTCTGCTTTCTCCTATAGAATAATGCTCACCAGAGAATTTAACAATTAATAAATTGGAGAATTTTGGTACCACTGTTTTTGTAATTAAAATATTTGTATAACTTTTACATTGTAACTATACTTTTTCTTATTTTCCTATTAAGTATTTGTATATAAATAGACTTAAATATAATTTTGTTATGAAACACAGACTCCTCTGACGGTCAACAGACCATGTAGCACGTCTGATTTTCGGTTTTAAATCCAAAAATATTATTTTGTATTGTTTTGTAATGTATATTTTGTAATTTTGATAAATAAAAAGACTTTTTCTTCTTCTTCCTCTCTTCTTCATACGTGAGAAAATGGAAGAAAGCTTCAGGTATGTTTAAATAATGTTAAGTTAAAATAATGTTTAGATTAGACTACGTTAAAGCCAAACGTTGTAAAATAATGCTCTTAACTAAAACACATTAAGATGAATAAGTACAAATAAAATTAGTTCTTTAATAGTTAATAGAAAAAAAAGTAGTGTAGTGTTATCATTTGTTGTAACCTAGGTGTAACTTATTTAATTAGAAAAACCTTTAGAATAATTTTAATACTCTTATCATCATTTATTTTACCTTAATACATAATGATATGACGCATACACCACAATTAGCATTAATTATTTTTAAGGTTTAATCTCACCGTAAATGTAAGACCAATAATGAATATTTTTCTATAGACTAGTACTTGCGATAACAGCTGATTTATTCAGAAGTTTTTGTTCTGCTAAAATAATCTACAGCTGAGGGGTTGTGAATGAAAGTCGGCTGGCTAATGCGATCGATGTGAACTAGTCAAGGTTACTTAATGAATTCAATAATTATGTTTTGTGAATGAAATCAATCTATAAAAACATAACCAATGTCATGTGATTAACTAAATATCATTAAAAATTCGTTAGAGACATCAGAGACCTATTTAAAAAAAAAACACTGAATTTACAGAGTCTTTAGTTAGGTGACTTCATACCAATCAAGGTTTTCAAAACTATGGTAAGTTTTAATAAGTTAAAAAAATATATAGTCTTCCCCTCTCCCCTTCACTAAAAACTGTATATTTTGTTTTTTTCTTCTAGGTATATGACCATAGTATTGGTTTCTCCGCACATGATCTACATAACGGCGATATTAGTATTACAGGCCCCTTTTCGTTAAATTATTTATATCGCCCTAAAACTTCGTGAATGGCTTCATCTTATTGAAACCTAAATATTTTTATCTAAGAATGTTCTCAGAAAAGGGAAGTTTTCTTATAAAATCGATTAATTTAATGTAGTACTAATGATCCATAAATATCTATTATCTTTCTACTGCTATGTATTGTAAAGACCGCCGGTAGAATAATTAATTTAGATGTATAAATAAACATCATAAGTGTTCACATCTGGCGGTACCTGACCGAAGGTAACGACCCACAAGCCCAACCTTTTGTAAGTGGTAATAAAAACCTTTAAGGACCACCGACAAAGACCGACAACTAAGTGTTTAAAAAGGATCCCGAAAGACCTTTTCACACCTTCCACCACAAATATGGAAATCTGTACCTGCTGCTTTACCTTGGCCTAGGGAAGAGGGCGTGGTCATCCCTTAGGCTGAGAATATTCGGCCAATCAGGAAAAAGACTACCAAAAGAGAGGGGGATGAAAAAAGGTGGGAAATAGAGAATTGGGACTGGGCACTTCTTCTTGGGACTCGGAGAGGAGGAGACTTCTTTTTGGAACTCAGAGGAGGGAGGACTTCTTCTTGGGACTCAGAGAGCTGGGGACTTCAAGCGGGGGAGTCGAGGGAGGAAGACGAAGACAGCCGGAGAGAGCAGATGGACGCACTAGACGCTGAAGGAGAGCAGAGACAGGGAATCCAGATATGACGGCTAGAAACACCTAGAAACACTATGAAGGACCAGCTAAGTGGTAACAAGCATTTAGTTATACTAATGTAAATTTGTGTTGGCAACCATACATCATTAATTAATATAATCAATATAACACGTAACTTTAATCAAACATCAAGCATTCTCCTCCAGTATGATTCTCAACTATTCACTATGTATATAGGTTTAGTTATTATTTTGTATATAGATGTTTTTGGTTTTATTTAAGCTTGTAAATATAATAGTTAGTAAACCAACGTAGTACTTTTACATTCTTCCTTGCATGCCACCAATTAGATATAGAACAAATAGTAAATTTATAAACATGATACCTTTAGAAAGGAAATCCAATAAAAATTATATGGTTCAATGTAGGATACTACAGTAGAGGGTCTGTGGTATCTTACCTTTTAATACAGAATTAATATATTTTTCTGTAGATCGGTTCCCTTCTGGAACCGATATGAATACAAATATAAGTATTAAATACAAATAAATGCGGTTCCTGGAACCCCTTACTCGCCGTAGAAACGCGAGGCCAGGAACATAGCACTACATGAATCGTTAGATAATTTGATTACGAACTCGAGAAGAAAGGTAGCCTACAAAAATATTGGGCCGTTTGGCCTATATAACCTCGTTATTTTTACATAATGGTCTGGAGTTCTCGCCAAATGGCCTAATATTTATAGGTTCCGTTTTTACTCGATTTCGTAATAATATTATCCCAGAATTCAAGAAGTAAGCAAATTGTAGCGGTGGTTGAAGAAAACACAGCTTACACCTTGCAAGAAATAGCTAACACTATGATGCTCTGCATATGAAAATAAATAAACAGAGGGAATTCTCTAATTCCCTCGATCTAATCTCCTTAGATATCCACAGGAGTTCTTGATAACGATACTTAATAAATTAGGTGCATGTAATTTGTTGAAAAAATATGAAGTTGCGTATGTCCAACAACACTTTCTCTAAAATACAAAAATTTCCAAAGGTACATTATAGATCTATATAACTAGTTTAATTTACGAATTTGTATTTCATTAGAAACATATTTCTCTTAATTTATACTTTAGCTTCCTCTAAAATTATTTAATATTTATGGATTTCATATAACTTACGACAATTATATATACACCTTCAAATATTTCCACTAAAAAAAAATTAAAGCAGCTATAGAAGAAAATATTTTTGAAACTGGCTGATGTTAAACACTTGTGAGTTTAATGATATAATGAGCCAAGTCAAAATCATTTGAAAAAAAAACTAAGGTGTAAAGTCCATTACATAAGTTGTTTCTTCCGATTATTCGATTTTAAGGTAAAAGGTTTCTGTAACATTGCAAGTATACAATGAATCTATTTACGTGATTCCGATTTCTTACAAATTTTCTTTTTAGAGTAAGAATGAAAATATGACATTGTAATCAGTAGGAATTTGTATTTTTCTTGCACCACATACGTATAACAATATTATGATAATATTGAATATTTAATATACCACACTAAATCAAAACTTTTATTATAAAATGATGTGTATATTGCGAATCATTATATCTGACGATCGCTGTTATATATTCTCTCTCTTGTTTTTAATAATTTTAAAATCTGCCTATTGAATGTTTAATCACCAAATTTGTTTACAAGTAGTATTTACCACAAAAAAAAATGTTGAATTCTTCTGTCTATTTTTCCAATTTTATTATTCATATATGAATTTGTCTCTATAATAGATCAAAATTGTCAGAGTAATAGCATGTTTTATTATAAATATCTAAGAAAAAAGGGCCTGTGAACATTTTCTTTTTTTTTTTTTGCTTTTAATGAAGTACACTAAACATGTTATCACTTTTAACATGGAATAAATTTACTGTTAAAAGTGATATACATTTGAGGGTATTGGCTCCTTCAATATATATCTCACCCTCACTTATTTTATGCGATTTGGTAAAATTTCAAATTTATGGGTATCGACCTCCTTTTCTTCCAAGTTTATAGCATTAATAATGCTTTTCATCTCTCCCCAAAGTAAGGGATTGAATACCAACGAACTGAGAACACCATGTGGAAATTAATTTAGATTTCTCCACGTATCCTCTTCATATCGTGGGCATCGAGCTCTTCTGTACCTCTCCTGACGACACATAACCCAAGGTTCGCACGTCTAGTTGCAACAATCCCTTATTATTCAGATTGCGATCTTTCAAGGGCGGGATGGCTCGAGTATATAAAGACCTGGATGGACTGTGTAGAGTACAGTGGTCAACCAGCTACAGCAAGCATGAAGGTAGGTCTGGATAAAATAGAAGTTATTTAAAAATCATAATAGACCAAGAAATAAATAATTTTAGGATTGGTAGGATACTGGAACAATTATAACCTTCTAGCTAATTCAAGATTTTAATTATTATTTTTTCAAATCATCGGCAAATTTAAAACAAACTGAAATTATACTTCAAAGTAATCAGACTAAAAAAGAAATCCTAAGACGAACTGGAACTAATTAAAACCAAATTTCAACTTAAATATATATATGCAGTACTAAAAAAAAAAATTAAAATGCAAAACAAATAAAAATTAAAAGAGACTAATAGTGTTATAATAGTTAGATTTTATTATTATATTGTGTTTTTATTAGAGTTATTTTAATAGAGTTATATTTTGTTAAAACTGTTTAAAGTGAAACTAATATAAGCTTTTAAGAAATGTATTAAAAACATTTAGTGTTGGTATTCAATAATAGTAATAGTAATCTGAATTCATTTAAAGATTTCTCAAAATAATGAATAGGACAATATTATTATTATTTTAATTTAATTTTTTATTTTAGAATTAATACATTCTGCCGCATTGTAGAGCATTAATATTAGGGCTACATTAAACATTCACACAATATATACATACAAATGATAACTAAAATAGAGATAAAAGAAAAGATTTGTAGAAAGCAAAATCAGAAAATTAACATACATATATACAAAACACATTAACAAATATATACAATATTTACATTCGCCCAGGGGATTATGAGTCATGCTTTGTCCCCCAAATGTGGAAGCCAAGCCAGGACTCCAGGAGATCCCAGTGCTTCTCTCCTAGCCGCGTCACTGGTAATACAATATTAATAAATATTTCTTTATTATTTTAAGGTCTTTCTTTTTACTCTTTCGGTGGTAGCATGCGCTCTAGCAGAAGCTCCTTACCCACAGCCAAGGAAACCTGAAGGAGCTCTTCTGCTTTTGCCTCCCGAATACAACAAGAAGTCAGAGTATAATTACCAACCGGTAAGTATGTAAATAGTTACAAAGAAACTGTTTAGAATCGTCACCATAGTTAAATAACAAATTAATATAAAAATTGAATACAGATTCAGAGCGAAGCAGAAGACTTGGGCAAAATAAGCGACAAGGTGATGCAGAGGCTACGACAAGAACAAGGATCTGGCTCTGGCAGCTACCACGTCTACCTGAACGACGGTAGCCTCCAGAAGGTCCAGTACACCACGGCACCCCTGAAGAGCGGACAGCAGAATTCCCCAGCCCAGCAGTACAAGCAGTCGGAGAGCGGGCTGAACCCGATCATCGCCCAGTTCGGGAGACTTCAACAAGAACTGCAGGAACAGCAGATCCAACAACTGCAGCAGAGGCAGCAACAGCTGGAACAGCAGCAACAGGAGCTGAGGCAGCAGCAGCAGGAGCTGAGGTCTGCCAGCTACCTGGCCAGCATCCGCTACTCCAACGTCGACCCCATCACCTCCCCGATCTACTCCTACAAACCCAGCCCAGTCACTAGGATCCTCAGATACGCTCCTCAATATTATTAACATGTTTATAAAACAATCATTACGAACAATAAATAATAAAGAATGAATTTATGTGCTATTTAAGAACCTTAATTAATCTGGTATGAAAAAGTTCAGGACTTTCAATGAAACTTTTCGCCTTTAAAAGATTTTTTTTTAATTTGTTTTCGAGGAACGCCCCGTACAAATAGAGTTGGCTATAATGATAACAATGAACAACTTAATATCAAAAACATTTAAAACTTATATACAAATAAAAATACATTAGGATTCAGTGAGAACCTCCTCACCTAATAACAACCATGCCTATGTACTCATAAATATAAACAATGAAATATAATATAATAACCTACATAACGCAATAATTCAAAATAATACATCTGAATATAGCGAGCAATAAAATGACAAATAGTAATAAATGGAATTAGTAATAAAGATAAATACAGGCATAGTATACAATACATAACATATAAACATGTCAATATTAAATAGCAAACGATACAATAAAACACGATATGCATGTAAATATGTTTCATGCATGAATAATAAATACCACAAGCAGAACAAAGTAAACAAACTTCAAAGTTTTGGAAAAATATATGTTATGTCATTATTAATTGAAAATAAAGGATCCCGATATTGAACATTGCCTCGTGTTATAAAACAGGTTCTTGAGGAAGACTTCATTGTCAATTTTGAAATAATTCTAAATAATTCGCCCTGGTCATGTTAATGGAATGAGGGAGGAAGGAAGTGAGCATAAATCGGGCACCGAAAAAAAATATGAAAAAGGTCCTCCGATTCATTTAGGTTACAAAGCGTGCAAATTTCTTTTGGCTTGAAATAGTAATACGTATTATTAAACGTTAATTTAATATTATAATTGCCAGATAACCTAATCTCTGTTTTCGTCATATGAAACGGTGTATTTAATACGAGATAAGGCTGATGCTTATCACTGGCTGTATACATATTGAGATACATTGGGCTGTACCTAGTTGGGGTAATCAGTTTTTGTTTATCAAATTCCTCTATATGGCTTCTAAACAGGCACGTGTAAGTGTATCGTTTCATTCATCTTTAGATGGAATGTACCTGCGTCATCTAATTCCAGAATGAAATGTTTATTTGCAGAGCACAGCAAAGTGTGTAACTGATTGAACCAATTAAATTTATGACTCCCTTTGCCACTAATATGTATTTCTTTTAATTTATTAAAACAAATTTTAGGAAATCTATCATTTTACATTTTTAATTTTCTTAAAACCCAAGACAGCCCCAATTGCAGTACCGCAACTAAGCAATGAAGTATTTTAAATTTTAATCTCTCATTAACCAAAAGGGACAATTTTTATTAAGAGAGAATAAACGTGTTTAACAGTTTAAGCTTACGATTTCTAGCAAATCAATATACTTGAGAGCCCATAGCCTTTAAAAGGTTGAAAAAGAAAAGAAGTTCAATCTTCACTTCCATCTCATATAATTGAAAATTTAATGGAAATATTTTTTGGTAATTTTCAAATACTTTACATAAATAAAGAAAAAGTACGTAAAATTTTTTACTTTAATAGGTTGAAGAAAATTTACTCACCCGTTAAAAAAACATCAGCTTCATTGACGATTAATATTAACTTAAAAGTTTAATTTTAATCGAATACTGATTAAAATATCCCAATAAAAAATGTGTTACAAATTCCATTAAGTTTAGCGATATACCTACCATCTCCCATACAATTTGTTCAAAGCTTACCAATTTCCACTCTTTTTTTTTTATATATATATTTTTCGTTTCTTTAAACTCGTGTTTTTGGAAATTTTTTTTCACCATCCATGGGAGGACGCGCCCTCTGGCATAATTTATTAGTTCTGGTCACGATAATAATTTTTTTTCCATTAGAAAATTCGTGTGTGAGCATGAATTTCCTCTATATTTCTCTTTATTTTAAATAAGTGTTTTTTTTTTCACCATCCAAGGGAGGTCGCGCCCCCTGGCAGAATGCACTAGTGCTGATCGCGATAATTTTTTTTTTTATTTCATTAGGAAATTCGTGTATAAGGATGAATTTTCCCTACATTTCCCTTTTCTTTAAATAAGTGGTGAATTTTCTTTCTTTTTAGTTCACGATAATAGTTTTTTTTATTTCGTCTATGAGGGTGAATTTCCCCTATATTTCTCTTTTCTTTAAATAATTGATTTTTGAAACTTTTTTTCCAACTTTCAGGGGGGAGGAGGAAATGCCCCCTGCTGGATCCGTTTGTGTTATACAATGATAAACCGAGTTTAATCAAAATCGTTAGAGCCGTTTTTTGAGAAAATTGTAAAAATGTGTATCACCGTTTTTATAAAGTGCCACTTCCGATCAACAGATTTCTAGAAAAAAGTTGCTATAATATCTCGTGCATATACCTATATTAAATATGTAATATCAGTTTCTTACGATTTTTCCTTTTTGAACTAGACACACACACACACACACACACAGACCTTTTTGTGTGACTTGGTTATTTCGACTCAAGGGACGTTAAAACGTGTATTTCCGTTGAAATCCAAGGTTCGAAAATTTTCACGATCGCAATATATGACATATATGACTTTCTCCAACTATAAATGACACGTATAGGTAAGTGAAAGTAAAGAGAGAGAACTGGCAAAGGTCCGGGTGCTCTCGTCTGTTTCCTTATAGCATCCAACCCTTATTTATCCTTTAATTACCAATCAATTTTCTTCATTCACTGAATTTATCCATTTTATATAAGTTTAAAATGTAAAATCGTCATTTATTTAAGATTAAAAAATAAATGTTCTTTAGAGGAAAAAATTTAGAAAATTTAGCACTTTGAGTTCGTCCATATTTGGAGAAACGTTGGTTTTGGTTGTAGATGATTGAGCAGTGGAATTTAAGTCTGTTCAGATTTGATTGCGTTATTTATTCCATCTTCGGTATTGAGAATACGATTGAAAACTAAATAGCCATTTAAAAAATATAGAATTTAGAACAGTTTACAGCTGTATACCGATATTTTGCTGTGTAGGTGTCTGATGTATGATTAAATTTAAATATTGGTAAAACCACCAGTTAAGTGTGTAGTAGCCCTCTTTACCTAAAAGAGGTTCTTGACAATGATCAGTATTTATCTATACCTTTAAATCGAAATAAGGTTAGTTTTATAATAAGTGAAAGATAATTTTTGTAAATAGCTATTTTAAAAAAAAATATATAAAATTTATTTTACATAATTAAATTCTTATCCTCATCCTTGTCATCTACAGGAACATTTAAAATCAAACAATGTCAGCTTCTGGTGGGACAATAATATACTATAAATTATACAATTTTTTTTTAATATTTCGGATATTTCATGGGTTAAAAATGTGTCTGTGTGAGGTGAGAAACAGTTCTATAAGACTAATACAAGAAGAAAAAATTAAATTTTTACACATATATGTTTAATATGCTTGTCAGCTACTCGTGTATTTGCCCTAGTTATCGGAACCTAAACGTAGAAATCCTCGCATTATAATCATTTAAATGATAGTTATTTCTAAATTTTGTTTAATAATGCTTTGGATAAAAAATACATAAATAGATAGGTACATAGTCTCCTAAATTGTACCTATGCTGTATGGTTATTTAAAAATTTATGAAATAAAAAAAAATCGTTAAAATCGGACAATTTGAAATTTTTAAATGTGTTTTGGGTTTTGATTTTTAAATGTGTTACTGAAGTAATGCTTATTTTTTTTTAGCAACTTACTAATTATTGGAATTAACTATTTATTTTTTTAAATTTATCACTGGAAAGGTAATGTTACTTTAGATGTATTATTGTTGAGAAATAATAAAATATTATGGAATCATTTGCAGGTTTTTTTTTTTTTTTTATTTGATTAGCAAAAAGGTTTGGTCCAAACCTTTGTTAGAAATAATTCATGAAAAATGTTCGACGACATTTTGTGAAGTTGCATATTTACTTGTAACAAATCCCTATGTTATGATTTTGATATCCCATTCGTTCTAGAACATAACTCAGGCAAATTTTCCAAATTCCTACGGATATTAAAATATTTCTACACAATCCTTATATAACTCAATTCTAAAAGCTAAAACTGTAATCATTCCGTTATGTAATAATGGATTTATTGGAATTCTGGCAATGACCATATTTTCCATTGAAGATCTGCACGTATTTCATATTTAGATAGTAACGCTAAGATCTCCAAGAGTCCTGATTTTCCCTTCATTTGTGATTTGGTTTGGAGTTCTCATGGTCGACTGTAACCAGTGTATATAACCAACAAATGTTCTGCAAAGCTGCGCGAAGCAAACTGAAAAGTAATAGTCCAAAGTAGACAGAGGTGGATGAAATGGTGTTGGCCGAGTGTATTAAGGAGTTACCTTAGGAACACTGAATATAGTTCAATTCAAACCCAACCACGGTGGTCATTCATTAATTTAATGAATTAGATTAGGTCATTGAAGGAATCTAAATATCCGACCAGGTAGGTCGATGGAAAAAAAGTGGAAAAGACGGGTTCTGGAGGAAAAATGTAAATGGTCTGTAAAGACAATAGTAAAAAATAAATAAATAATAATGTTGAAATAAAATATATAGTATATTTACATGAATACAAAATGTCTACAGATGAATCTTTTTTAAAATATTCAAGGTGACAGTTTTAAGAATTTATGAATCTTCATCCAATAAAAGAGCTTTCTCTAATTTTATGCATCATAAAACATAAGTATAAAAATAGTTATGATAGTACTTTTTGTCTTCTGGCGTTGAAGTTACGGCAACAAATAACTGATACTAAATTTCAATAAAACATTTTCACACCATTTAATAAAGGATTTATAGGAAGCAAACATTTATTTTTTAATATTTATTTAATTTAATGATTAAATTTTAAATACAAATTATCAATAGTAATGAGCGTATCTGAGGATCCTAGTGAGTGGACTGGGTTTGTAGGAGTATATCGGGGAGGTGATGGGGTCGACGTTGGAGTAGCGGATGCTGGCCAGGTAGCTGGCAGACCTCAGCTCCTGCTGCTG